TTTTTTTATTTTACTTTTTTTTTTTTTTTTTTTATTACAAGCATATAATCGTTTTTTTGCACCTGCAGATGCAATATTTCTCTTTTTGCAAATGCATTTTAGTAATTACGCCAATATAATACAATATTAATAGGGTAAGGTTGCCGATATTGTACCGGCGCCTAAATTGTACTTTAGCTGTATCTAGTTATTTTTACAACCCAGAAAATATCTTTTGACTTAAATTTTATCTTTGCTATGTTGAACTAACGAATCAATTGTTTTTTCGCGAGATAAAACTAGATTCTGGCAGCAGTTACCTCGAGTTGATAAGATGCCAAAGTTTTCTTATTTTTTGGGTTCAATGTTTAGATTTGTTAGACTTTAAACATGTTAAATATGTCTTTTTTATCCAAGCCTTAGTTTAAGATTACCTGAACCAACTTCTATGGCAAGAGCCACAGGTTTTTGTAAGGAAAAGTTTGTATTATTTTTCAATAAACTTGTTGATAACCACAATATTACTGCAGATTTGCTTTGCAACGTCCCAGCGGGCACAGACGTCAATCAGACGTCTTACGGACGTCCTAACTAGGTCGCGACGTCTCAGACCAAATTAAGACGTCCTAAAGATGTCCAAAAAAGACATCTTTGTTAGGACGTCCTAGTGACGTTAACATAAAGACGTTATCAGGACTTCCATATTAGGACGTCCTATTGACGTCCCTAAGACCTTCTTTAGACGTCCTTTACCTTGGAAATAAGTTGCCTCAAAGTCGTTTAATCGACGTTTTCAATAAACATTTATATTAAAAGAATTTAACTTAGCGCTTAAAATATTGGTTAATTAAAAATGTCTGCATTGTTTGATTAATTAATTTGATATTATTAATTTTGTTTAGTTATTTATCGTTTAAAGATATTTTTCAATTCTCTATATTCTATACTATATGATCTATAAACTAAAATCTATAAAATTTTTAAATAAAGGAAAATTGAGTTTAGTTATTAAGTTTAAATAAGTTGTATATATTCTTTAATTTGTTTTATCATTTTTAAAGACTTTTATTTGATTTAGTATTGTATTTTTTCACTATATATATATATATATATATATATATATATATATATATATATATATATATATATATATATATATATATATATATATATACATATATATATATATATATATATATATATATATATATATATATATATATATATATATATATATATATATATATATATATATATATATATATATATATATATATATATATATATATATATATATATTATAAATAAAACCCATAATAGAACAATCATCAAATTAAATGAAACAACACAGTAACACGACCTAGTTATCAACATAAGTAATAATCTGAACAAATATATATACAACCCGTGATGGGAAAAATCATCAAATTGAATAAAACAACATAGGAAGGATACCTAGGCATCAATATAAGTAATAATCTGAAATAGAAAGACCACATTACAAGGATATCTAAAAAAGGATACTCAAAACTAGGTAGACTAAAGCAGACATTTAAATTCTGGTCAACTGACTTCTTTACTATGATATTTTATCTCACAACAAATAATTATATAATTGCTACTATAGAAGGAATATATATATACATATTTATATATATATATATATATATATATATATATATATATATATATATATATATATATATATATATATATATAAATATATATATATATCTCACAACAAATAATTATATAATTGCTACTATAGAAGGAATATATATATATATATATATATATATATATATATATATATATATATATATATATATATATATATATATAAATATATATATATATATTCCTTCTATAGTAGCAATTATATAATTATTTGTTGTGAGATAAAATATCATAGTAAAGAAGTCAGTTGACCAGAATTTAAATGTCTGCTTTAGTCTACCTAGTTTTGAGTATCCTTTTTTAGATATCCTTGTAATGTGGTCTTTCTATTTCAGATTATTACTTATATTGATGCCTAGGTATCCTTCCTATGTTGTTTTATTCAATTTGATGATTTTTCCCATCACGGGTTGTATATATATTTATTCAGATTATTACTTATGTTGATAACTAGGTCGTGTTACTGTGTTGTTTCATTTAATTTGATGATTGTTCTATTATGGGTTTTATTTATAATATATATATATATATATATATATATATATATATATATATATATATATATATATATATATATATATATATATATATAAATATATATATATATATATATATATATATATATATATATATATATATATATATAGATATATATATATATATATATATATATATATATATATATATATATATATATAGATATATATATATATATATATATATATAGATATATATATATATATATATATATATATATATATATATATAGATATATATATATATATATATATATATATATATATTATAATGTTTACATGAAGCATACATATTTATTTTATATATGTGTGTGTGTGTGTGTGTGTGTGTGTGTGTGTGTGTGTGTGTGTGTGTGTGTGTGCGTATTGATCAGTGTTATATACTGTTGAAAATACAGCTCTAAAAGGGAAAAAAAAGTTTAGTTATGCTATATCGCTTTGATTTGGTCAAGTGTTGCATATTTGATGTCAGATGCCGTTACAAGGCTAAACTTGTATTTTTTAAAATGGATTTTTATATATGTATGTATTTATTTATGTATATATATATGTACACATAAATTATGTTAGTGTATTCTACAAATAGAGTGATGTCTGCAATGTTCTTAAAGAACAGAGCAATCAGGGCTGTGAGTTTGTTTAGTGTATAGCGATTCTTTACAGTTATTTACTATTGGAGCCGGAGTCGCGAGTTTGTTTAGTGACTCTGACTCCACTGTTAGTGGAGTCAGAGTCACTAAACAAACTCACGACTCCGGCTCCAATAGTAAAACTTCTCGGTATTGCATGTTAATTTACAAAATATTTAACCTTTAAAGAGCATTTCATATATTTGACAAAAAAAATTTTTTTATTTATTTATCGTGTAATATTTTTTAAAGAATTCAAAGAAATGTTTATTCAATTTTTATTCAAAATTCAAAAAAGTTTTGATTTGGAGATGGAGTCGTTCTCTAAAAATTTCAGCGATTAAAAGTTGGTCCTTTTTTTTTCCCAACTCTACATTCCTGAGAGCAATAATAAATTTGTAATAAAACTTATCTAATTCTCTTTGTCACCTTGTTTTTCCATCAGTAGGTTCATCAGGAAGCTTCCTGATGAAGCTACTGATGGAGAAACAAGGTGACAAAGAGAATTAGATAAATGATTTTACTAATTTATATATATATATATATATATATATATATATATATATATATATATATATATATATATATATATATATATAATACATATATATATATGTTTGTGTATAGGTAGCGATTCTTTACAGTTAGACAAAAACGTTATAATTTTCTTGAACTATACTTGTTTATATCTTTTTTTAAGTTAAACATGAAACTTAAGATTTTTTGCATTATTCAGTTTAAATTTACCTTTTCCAACCATTTATAGAAAGTACTATTTACTACTTTATATACTATTTATATGGCTTCACTTATTTGTTTTACTTTTCAGAGTTTCAGAGAAAAGTTATGGTCAAACTTTCTGAAATTAACATTATAAATTAACATTAACTGAATAAACATTTTAGTAAATAAAACTGCACAGTTTTCTAATGATCCAGAAGGTTATAAACAACTTAAAAGTTCAGATGAACTTAATGTTTTGAAAAGAAAAATTGCAAATGGAGATATCCAATACATCACTTTTGTGTGCATGAATTATATCTTTATAGTTTATATATTATTACAATATTTCTTTTGAATTGTCATGAACATTTTCAATGTTTCTTTTGCATTATTTCTTTTTAGGTAAAACAGTTATCATTAATTGGAGGTAAAAATTCAGTTGATACAATTAAAAATATTTTGCTCTTGTAAGTAATTAGCATAAGTTTGAATTTTAACATTTATGTTTGACAGCATGACATTTATCATATTTTTTATATGTAGACTGACAACAGATACTATTTTCAGAATGCAGCATGAATGGTCTAAAGAAGAAAAAAAAGTTTAAAAAGTTGACAAGTCTATGTATTGCTATCACTGGTATTCTTATTAGCTTATTATTGTGTTTAATTTACTTTTAAAATTAAAAACGATCTTTTAACAAAAAAAAAAATTTTCTCAATTTTTTTGGCTATGAAACATGACATATTTTATTTTATGATCTTATTGAACTATGTCTTGTTGTTTTTATTAGATGCTGCTTCAAAGTCAAATAAAAGCTTAACCAAAATAGAGCTTATTGGGAGATTAATTAGGCATTCTTCTGACCGATTCGAGAGAAAATCCACCAATATCCATATTGATCAATGATGGCTTAATTAACTTCAATCAACTGTTGTGTTTTTTGTTTATTTTGCATTTTTCAGTAATTTTCTTTTTACTTATAATATACTATCGATTATACTCTACAAAAAATATTAGTTTTTAATTTGGAAAGTGTAACTTTGTTTGAATATTTTTTCCAAGTTTTTGTAAAGTTAATAATTTATTTTAAATAAATGAAATTACACTTTATGAACTTTGATTTCTCTTTATACCTTCACTTGCCCTCTAAGGTGTGTATTGTATATCATTGCATTTTTATATAACTTTTAAAAGAATGTCTAGGTAAATTTACGTCTCTAGGACGTCTGAATAAGACGTCCTTAAGTCTTTCACATGAGACCTGCCAGAGACGTTTATAGGACGGCTGAAAAGACATCTCTAGGACGTCTACAATAAACGTCCCTAGGACATCTTGAAAAGACGTCTTTAGGACGTCTGTAATAGACGTCCTCAGGTCTTTCATTTGAGACCAACTAAGGACGTCATACGGACGAGACTTGGGACGTTTTATAAACGTCCTTAGGACGCCAAAATGCCCGTTGGGGTAGATGAAACTGGAATAAGTACAGTTCACAAACCAAGGAAACTTTTAGCTCTGAAAGGTAAAAACCAAGTCGGAGGTATTACAAGTGGTGAAAGGGGTGTGAATACCACTGCCATATGTTGTATGAATGCTGTTGGATTTTTTATACCTCCAATGCTTTTATTTAAACGTAAAAGATTTAAAAATGAGCTTAAAGATGGTGCACCACCATTGACAGTTTTTGGATGTTCTGATACTGGTTGGATAACTAAAGATTTATTTACTTTGTGGATAAGTCATTTTATAAGCTCACTTTGTCTTAAACCTCTTGCAGAAAATCCAGAACAAAAAAAAGTTCTTCTTATACTTGACGGGCATTCAACACATACAAAAAACCTTGAAGCCTTAGTTCTAGCTCGAGATCACATAGTAGTAATGCTTTCTTTGCCATTGCATACTACTCATAGGCTACAACCTTTAGATAGATCTTTTTTCAAAGTTTTGAATTCTAAATATAATACTGCTTGTGATAAATGGATGCGAACCCATCCAGGCAGATGTATTACTCAATATCAAGTATCTCAACTGTTTGGCGAAGCTTACTCAAAAGTTGTTCGTATGGAAATTGCTATTAATGGATTTAGAGACACTGGGATATGGCCAGTAGACAGCTTAGTTTTCCGGGAAGAGGACTTTGTACCTTGTGAAATACTCAGTGGAGAGACGAGTTTAAATGCAAAAGCTTCCCAAACAGTAAGTTTAGTCATAGTTTGCCTTTAGTCACATATTTTTCTTTCTCAACTTATTCAAATACCATAATTATTACTGTTGTTCTAATTATATATTTTTTGTTTAACGTTTCATTTATTTAGGATGAACTTATTTTTGAAACAATTTCTGCACAACCAGTGCAAACTTCTTCACTCGAGCGAAATCCAAAAAAATCTAGAGCTACTCTATTGAAACATAATGCACATAATGACCCACTCTTTAACGTAACTTTATTATCATCAATGAAAAAAACAGAACACTAAGTTTTTTATTTTGTTTGTTGCAATTTTACATTAATGGGTACACACACTCAAAACACACACACAATATACACACATGTTCATCTCCGAAGGTTATCCATAATATTATTATTTTCTTAATTAAAATGAAAATTTAAAGCTAAATTTTACTAGCAGAAAATTTTTAGGCTGAAGAAAATTTGTTAGAATTGTTATTGGTTATTTTTTAGGTTGCAGTGTCTTGACATACCAATAATAAATGCGGTAGTGGTGTAGTGGTAAGAGCGCTTGCTTTGTAAGCGAGAGGTTCGGAGTTCGACTCCCACCATGTCCCTGGAAGTAACGCGCTCAACTTAATTTCTCCGCGCAGCGGCCTTGCTTGTCAAGGTTCGTGTTTCGGAGTTAAAGAGTTGAGAGAGGGTTGTACCACAATTTACAACAAAAAAAAAAAAAAAAAAAAAAAATGAGTAGCCTCCTCGGCTGTAGTGGCCCCCTCGGGCCTTGGGGAGGTGAATAATTTAAAAAAAAAAAAAAAAAAAAAAGCATTATCTCCACTTCCAGTTAGAACTTCTCCTCTCAAAAAAAAAATAAATAATTCTAATACAACTGTATTGACGAGTAGTCCTTACAAAGACGCACTTTCTGGAAGAGCTTTACTGCAACCAAATAAAAAAATAAAGCAGGACTGACAATGTTTGAAAGAGTGTGAGCAAGCAATTAAATCTCTTCAAAATGAAAGCTGGTTTTGCTACCTCTGTGAAGAAAATATAAAAAAGAGTATGATACAATGCCTTACATGTCAAGGCTGGTGCCATAATGACTGTGCAGGTGTTAATCAAAAATAACAACGTTATATTTGTAACTTTTGTCAAGAATAAAGATTTTCTGTTTTGTATTATTAATATAATGAGCAGTAATATCCATCATTTTCTTACCAAAATTCTAAAAACCACATAAGTAAGTTACACATTTAATATAAAAGTTATACCTTATTGAGATGTTTCAGACTATTCTAGAAACTTTTTTACATTGCTTGGCACAGAAAAAGATCTTTATAAAAATCATTCAAAATGTACTATAAATTAATATAGTATTTGTAAAACCAAGATATAGGTACAATATCGGATTATAATGGTACGATTTAGGATCTTTTTTCCTTAATTGTACCCATAGCGTGTTTTTAAAATTTAATTCCCTATCGAATAACAACGTTTAAATATTTGAATATTTTAACTTTTTTAGAACAGTTTATTCCCAAATTATACAATAAAATAAAGTCTCATTATTTCTACTTTGTATTTTTCCTCTATTTTTGACTTTACTCTTAGAGGGTACAATATCGGCAACCTTACCCTTTATCACGATTTTATAAAAATGGGGCTCGGTGATAAGACAGAATTATGTCTTATATATATGAAAATTGTATTTATTGTAGAAGGCGAAATAAATATTACAAAAAAAAAAAAAAAGGTCTATATATACCTTTTATATATAGAACAACGTTTTGGCAACTGAAATAGTTAAAAAACACCCTAAAATAAAAACAGGTAATGATTTATAAAATCTAGTTGTGAATAAAAAAGCAGGTTATATATTCATATATTACAAAACCCTAAATGAATCCTCCCTCCACCCTAAATGAATCCTCCCTCCATCCACTAGGCAATTAAATTACAAATTTTTTTTTTTAGCAATAATTATAATAATAGTAATTGAATTCTTACCAAGATTATCACTTTTTCATAGATCTGTTTCACACTTAAAAAATTTTGAGTAAACTGGTCAACTGCATGGTTAGCCATACATGAAGTGTCTCTTGCATCCTTATCTTTTTTTTTTGTATTTTTGTGTGGTATAATTTTTCTTTAATTCACCAGCATCACTTTTGTGAAATAAGCAATCGATATGCATTGATCGCTTTGCTTTTTCAATATCTTTTTTTATGTTTGCATCTGTGGACGCTTTAGTAACATATTTCATTAGAGAAATAAACTCATTTAAGCTTTCACATGTTGTATAATTAAAGCCAGCTAGTTTTTTGTATCGTTAAAGTCTGCTAATAGCTTGGTTTAATTTATTTAAGAACTTTTCGATGAATTTGATAAAACAGATTGGTTTATTGGTTTACAATTGTTTTGACTTGAGTTTATGGTATGCCACTTTGCTATGTTCCCACAGGTGGGTTTATGGCTACTGCGCCCGTAGGCATGTGAATACTCTTTGCCCGATAATTCGTAATAGAAGTTAATATTTAAAATAATTTATTGGTATTTTTAAGACTGATTCTTGAAAACAGGGTATAACAAGCTGTACGTCAAAGCATTCAAAATAATCAATTTGCAAACGACATCAGATATCATCAAGAACATTATATTTAATGTAAGATACCTGAATTTGGCATGATAGAAATAATAATTGTGCTCTGAGTCTCATTGTTTGTAACCAAACTATATGCTAGCTACATCAATATATTCTAAATGTAATGGAGTTCGGATGATTAAAAAATGTTTTAAAATTGTACCCATTGATGATATCGGTTAAGTGATTTTGCTAGTCCTATAAGTTATATCTTGAATAAGTTCTGATGTAAGTATATAATTTAGGAAGTGTTTTGCAAAGTCCAGATCATCTTTTGATAATTTAATTTTTTGCTTTTTATAAATATAAGTACTCCTCTTATCTTTCTTTGCTTAAATGAAGAAAACTTCAAAAATATATGTTTTTGAAGTTTCTACATCTTATTGAGTTTTTTTTATGATAGTTGATTAAAGAAATGGATGCCTCATTGATATGTGTTTTTCTAATATGCCATTCACATGGCTTAAATCTGGAGGGCTTATTGCTTGTAATTTATTAACATTTTTTAAAGAAAAGGAGTTTTCTGAAGAATCTAAATCAAGTGTGTAAGTGGGATCATTCTCTACTTAGTCATAATTTAGAAGCATTGTCTCTTAAAATTCTGAACAGCTACCAGATAATGGGAAAGAACCAGGAAAACATTTATTCATATTTTCATACTGGTCTCTCGTAGCTTTTTGGAGATTTTTTTATCTTTTCCTTTTTTTTTTTTGGAAAAACTTCATGGAATGGATGTAAGCATTATTTTGGTACATACCAGTATCTCCTATACTTCCGTTTGTGAAAAGCACATTTAACTCTTTCGTGACGCGTGACCCGTATGGTGCCTCATAAAATTACGAGTGACTCGCATGGCGGTACATAAACAATTTGAAAATTTTCAAAACATCTATAGCAATTGGGAAAAACATTAAAATTATCTTCATATTGTGAATAATTTCTTTATTTAATGCTTCAAACCATTTTTTAATTGCTTTTATAGATAGCTCAAAAATCGATTTTAAAAAATGACGAAGAACAAATTGTATTATATTGATATAAGGGGTTGTCCATAAAGTATGTCACGCTATTTTTATCAATTTTCGTTACCCTTCCTGTCACAAACTGTCACATTCCCCCCCCCCCACCCTCCCTCTAAAACAAAAAAACAAGAACATATCATTACCGAATTTTTAACATTCTAACACATAGTTATAACTATTTAACAGAATAAAAAAGACTTAATTTAACTAATTTGGAATACCTTCTTAGTTTATTGGGAAAGATCGTCATAATAAAATAAAATAAAAATAGTTCTTTTATTTGAGCCTTTTGTTTTTGATAGAACTGGAAAACATTTGCACTCATTTAGAGAAATTAAAAATATTGTATTTATGCCATAATATAAATTACGACTAACTTAGTTATACTGACCGCTAATTAGCTACTATCCTATTTACACTTTTATTTTATAATAATCTGTGTTTCCTATTGGCTATGTAAAGCATGAGCAAGTCTTTTTAACTTAGTTATCATATATTATATATTTATTTAGTTATATATGATTCAAAAAAATAAATAACATAAAAGAAATTATTTAAAACCTCCATTTAAAATTCCAAACTTAAATTATATGTTCTAAATTTAATGATTTTGCATCGCTGCGCTTTAATGTCTTCAGAAACGGTGAAGGCAGTTTTTGCTAATATTTTTTTTTTTAACTGTTTAAAATACGGTGATACGCATAACATGAGATGTGTGAGTAAAATTTTGACAATCTGAAACACAATTGAATGAGTGAAATGTAGAAATTAAACTGTCATGATAAAAAATATTTGTGACATCATATTCATCAAACACCCCCCTCCCCCCTTGTCACAAATTCTCATAGAATTCTGCCTCCCCCCTCTCCCTAGTAGCGTGACGTACTTTATGGATGACCCCTAAATGAATTTAGGTGTTATCCATGATTTTTTTTTTATTTGTTTAAGTTTACATAAAGAAACTATATATTTTTGTTAATTTTAACATAATATATTTTGATCACGCAAGATGAGCAAAATTTTTTGATTGATTGATATTCTCAAATTCAATCCTTAGACAAAAAAAAAAACAAGCTCTTGTATTTAAAATTCTGGTTAGTAGTTTTTTTTATATACTCTTTGAATTGATCATGATCCTAGTTCTTTATTTTACGCGCAGTCATATAGCTGTTTTTAGCTCAGTCGCGAAAGGTTTCATAATATTTACACTAATAAAAAAAATTGGGGTAAAAAGTTTGTTTTTTAAATGTATTAATTGACTTAATTTAATCTAAACCATAAATCTACTTATTTATAACAAAAATAAGTATGATATTTGAATTCAGAGGGAATAAAAAAATAAATTTTATATATTAAACAGCTACCAGAGACCAACCAAAATTGAAAAGTTTATTTGGTAAATAACTACCAATTCTAACAGCAGTTTTGTTTTTTTGTGTCCAAGACCATTTTAAATGGTCTTGGACACAAAAATGGGTATCTGTATTTAGACACAACCACTCAGTCAAGTTTTGAGAGTATATAAGTTTAAAAAACATTTTCAAAAAATTATACTTAATAAATATCTTGTTGTCACATTGATTTTTTGAATCTCAAAGTTAGCATAAATTTTTTCATTTTCAAAGCAGGTGAAGAAAAATAAAAGTTGATGTTACATGTTACTTAAAAATCCAACCTTTCATTTGCTAGTAAAGTTTGCTAATCATCTTTTTGTTTTTAACTCTCTAAATAAAAATTTACCTTCTTCTATCGCAAATCTTTTTATAGAAAGTAGACTAATTCATACACACTCTACGCGAAATATAAGTAATGGAAAACTTATTGTACCATCATATAAAACTCAAGAGTATGGTAAGAATTCTGTTGTGTATCAGTGCATCTGTGAATGGAACAAGAGCTTTGTGTGCATTGTGAATGAGTTCAATAAACTCCAACTCCAAACTCCTTTGTCATCTTTTCTTAATCTTAATCAAAATCAATTTAAAAAAATTCTGAAAAATGTTTTTTTCTATTACTATAATAATTATCCTTATTTTTTTTATTTTTTTTTTTTATTTATTATTACCTACATTTATGATTTTAAAAAAGTTTACTTAATGTGTGTCTATGTTTTATGTCGATATGTTTATTATTAGTCATTTTATTTTAAAAAATGGTGTCAGTCCTTTGATCAGACTTCTGTATGAGTGACACCATTCATACTAATCATTAACTTATTATAATACGAAATAACATATCATTTTACTTATTATTATAATAATTATTATTAATTATATATATTTTTTTGTTATTATGATTATTATTAACTATAAATTATTACTATTGCTTATTATTTTATAATTATTGTTATTATTATTTACCTTTTAGTGTAAAAATGATTTTAAAATGAATAATAAATAGCTTGTTGTTGTTGTTGTTGTTGTTTTAATTAAATGAGAGCCGCTAATTACTCTATATAAATTTACGCTAATTATACTGACATAAAACCGATTTAAAAAATACAACGCAACTTTAACTTCACTGCTTACATCTTAGAAATTATTTAGTATACTCATATTACCAAGGTGCTCATATAACCTTAATTTACCCTAACAATACTATTTATTTGCATTTATAATTATTTAAATGTTACAATATATTAGGTTAGATAACTTAGGTAGAAAAGAAAAAGATAAATTTTGTTCTTATTTTGCATAAAAATTTTATTAAAAAACAGACTGGGTCTCAAATATCTTTATAATGTATATGGTTTTAAATAAAAGAATACGTCAAAAATCTTAAAAAAAAAAAGTTTTAGGATTCTTTTAAGCCCTTTTAAGGCCATTCGAATTCGAGTTAAAACTCTTTAAAAATATAATAATTAGTACCATTAATAACTTAAATTGTTCGTTAAACCCAATTAAATGACTTAATTCTTGTTAGTTAATGATTTTTATTTAAATACAGCATGGACAAATTTACTAATCAATTGTGTAGAATAAAAAAAAAAAACTGTTGATCGTTTCTCAAGATTTACTATTAATTCATGTATTTTATTTTCTTCTTCTTTTTCTATTTCTCTTCTTCCTTTTAATTGAAATTTTATACTTTCTTTTTCATTTTCTCGTTACAAATAAATTGTCAATTTATATATTTGGTGATAATAATGGGCATTTGTAATATGGTATTTTGTTTTCTTCTTTGTTATGATCTAATTTGCTGCAACTATCACTTATAAATGATGTTTCCACAGATGGTCTCCGCGAATCATCGTCGAATGTGCTTCTTCTTTTACTGAGCGAAATATGTTGTAAAGAAATTATTGATGTCCGTGATTTTAAAGAAAAAGAACTTGAGCGTCGTCTGTATGGTGAGCCATAATGAAGGATCGAACGAACAGTATCTTGGATTGTCTCCCATTTTTCCAGTTTGTTAAAACAACATGAGAAAATTACTTTACGTATATCTTTTTTAAAAGAAGTATGTAACCGGCTGTATATAATTGGGTTAACAACGCTGTTACACATCTGAAGCATTAAAAGTATGTCGTATATAACTTTAACCATTCGAAATGGATGTTTTTGTCCGCTAAACAAATACCACATATAAAAACTGTTTGACGGTAAAACGCACGAATAAAAAACTAATACAACTAAAAAAATCATTTTTGTTACTTTTTTGTTTTGTGACAGTCTTAACTTCATTTCGTTTTTGCAGTGGGCAAAAATTCCACTCTTTGCATTTTTTTTCAATTCTAATATAACCAACATATAGATAACGGTCATTATTATAATTGGTATAACACACTGTATGCAGAAAACAGCAAGACTGAAAACAACAAAATCATTTTGTTTCATGTAATTAAAACATGAATAAACATTTTTCGAGTGAAGGCCTAGTTTAACATTTTCACCAACAAAATAAAAACATCCAACTAATCCTGCTACCAACCACATTAAAGTTACAAATGTCAATAATGTACTTAGAGATGGCCTCTTGTGTAAAGGCCATTTTACAATAATAAATCGATCGATAGATACTGTCAGTAAAGTAAAAGCGGACACTGTTATACTTGTTATACCGAAAAATGAAATAATTTTGCATCCATCGTTTCCAATACTAAACAAATTAATATGTACTAAATCTAAAACCGTTTTTACAGGAGCAACAGTTGCATTCAAAAAGTCAGCAATCGCCAAATTAATCAAGAAGATTTCACATGAATTTAGGTTTGACCACTTTTGACAAAATACAATCAACACTAAACTGTTTCCGATAACACCAAGAGTAATTACAACAAAACAAACTATCAACGTCACAATTCGCAGAGCTTGTGGTATTTCTTCTGTTTGCGTTGTTATTGATGTATTGAAGGAAACATTGAACGTTACATTAATTGTAATTGTCATATTTATCATGGTTTATTTTTTCATATTAAAAGCCGTTTATAAGCTAAAAAAAAAATAACTATTTTAGATAGCGGAACCAGAAAAAAATATTTTATGCATGGGACTGAATAAAAACAAAGACATTTATGCAAACTACGTATAAGGCTTTTATATCTTTATAAACACAAACTTTAAATATATAAGTTGGGTACAACATTTGATTGGCTCAAAAAGTAAAACTGAATAAATTTAATAAAAAGCTAGTTTCCTATGTTTTTAATTTATTGAATGCTATTTTATGTAACCGTTTAGAGTGATGCATTAGGATTATTGTTGTTCAGTGAGACAATTTATTAAAAACTAATAATATATACAAAACTATGATTGTTATTATTTATTCCTGATATAACCAGCTTTTACTACTTCATGTTTTTATTGAAAATTTCAGAATTAAATATTTATATTGTAAGTTAAAAGGTTAAAGTAAATTAAATCTTAGCATAAGTTTGACTGTTTTTACATCAAAGTAAATTCTCGGTTATGCAGCCACTACTGTCCGTGAACATTTTAAATTGGCGGCAATTCATCCGGATACTCACTAGCCCATCACTAATCTATTTAACTTTAAAGCAATGTTTTTGCAAATGTTCTAAACACTGGACTCCCCCTACCTTGAGGCTCCGCAGGATTGAGGACAATAGTTCAACAAAAAATATTTAAGAGATTTAAACTTTGAACCTCAACGGGATCAAAATGGCTTAACTAATAAGTGTTCAGATTAACTTAAATCTCTGTGGAGTTCTAGAAAAGAGTTTAGCTCGACTAAAGTTATAACTTCGCTTTTGGTTTTTTTTAAGGGTTTAAAAGGTCCGAAGAAAGTATTTCAAGATAATAAAAAATTGATATTAATTAATTATTCGTTGAGAAAAAAGCATTGCTAGGCTTTTTTCCGTTACTTAAAATAATATTTTATTGAAAATTTATTTTATATATCGTAACCTTTAGTTTATTAACCTTAAAAAGCGTCGATAACATCGTTTATAGATATGCGTTTGGCTTTATCTTATTTCCATTGTTGTCGTACTGTTTTTATACAAAAAAATAAAAATAAAAATATTTGTATTCGATTAAATGATTAAAGAAAGGTTTTCAATTGAACTTTTTAATCAAACGTTTCGAATGCAACGCAATAAAATTTTAAATTGCTTATACTAAATTTTTTTATATTAAAGCCGACGACGCCAGGAAAACAAGTAAATCCCCCCCCCCAACCTTATATATATATATATGTATATATATATATATATATATATATATATATATATATATATATATATATATATATATATATATATATATATATATATATATATATATAATATACATATATATATATATATATATACATATATATATATATATATATATATACATATATATATATATATATATATATATATATATATATATATATATATATATATATATATATATATATATATATATATGTATGTATATATATATATATATATATATATATATATATATATATATATATATATATATATATATGTATGTATATATATATATATATATATATATATATATATATATATATATATGTACATATATATATATATATATATATATATATATATATATATATATATATATATATATATATATATATATATATATATATATATATATATATATATATATATATATATATATATATATATATATATATATATATATATATATATATATATATATATATATATATATATATATATATATATATATATATATATATATATATATATATATATATATATATATATATATATATATATATATATATATATATATATATATATATATATATATATATATTGGCTTGTGACTGTGGTTATGTGAATGTGAATACGAATATAACAAAAATCCTATTAGATATTCAAATTGTGTTGTAAAAACTAGTTGACTTTTTTTTTTACTACTTTTTGTATGTTTTATGTTTTTCTATAAGCTCGTCATCTTTTTTTATATAGATAATCTTTTCTTATAGAGCGCCACTTTTGTTAGTACTTTAAGTTGTTGACTGTGAATCTTTTGCTTAGCTTTAAGATTATAATCGACAGTAACTTAATTTTATTATTAGAGTTTAATTACGTAAGTGTAGAAAATGAACTTTTCAAATATTAATTTTATTTGCGCGTAATTTGGATCATCATGTTTGTTTACGTTACATCCGCGTGTGAACGGAATCACTTATTTAAAATTTTTTTATTATTCGTTTAGATATTACTAAATCATACAACTAGATTTGATCGGGCAAAAATGTTTTGTATGTGAACAGGGTCAAGGTAAAAGCTTGGGGAAAGGTGAAAGCAACCATAAAAGGATTTTTAGTTTCTTTAATCATACCTTTATACAAATTCTCAAAAAGAATAAAGAAAAAGTAAGAATTTAAAGCGTAAAACTAGGGTCTGGGATATAGAAGCTGAAATCCCGTAATAAAAGTTTATTCAAAGTAACAATGATTTGCATAGATGTGTAAGCAACTTGATAAAAAATTAGACGTACTTAATAAATGGTCTTGGTGACAAATTAGGATTTTACACAAAATAAAAGTTTGCTAATTTTACGCAAAGTAAATACAAGCTTTTACTTTGCCTAAAATGATTATCGAAGATATTTACAATCCATAGTAGAAACCTAATAGATTTTTTTAAAGCTCTAGTAGACAGTACTGTCAATGTAATTTACTAAGCACTTCAATAATTAAATTGTAAAATATACAACTTTTAAATTTAGCCCGTTTTGCGCAAATCACTAGGCAACGTAATATTTTATAATCACTGTTGTTGGTAACAAACTCGGTTTTTTCAAGACTTCATTTTGTTTCAATCAAGACAACCGGTAACCTAAATTGAGACACGTTAATTCCTAAGTTAGAACCCCAACGGGCACTGAACGTCTGATGGACGGCTTAAGGGCGTCCTACAGACTTGTGACGTCCGTAAGACGTCGTATATTACCCGCTGGGAACGCATTTATTTAAAAAGAGACATACTAAGTCGCACTAAGAACAACTTATTAAAAGTTACTTTTATCTTTACTGAGACAATTTAAATAATTCATTAAAAAACAAACTTGTAATTAAAGTTAAAATTGCTCAAACAAAATGAAAATCTACAATTTGTTCTTAATATAATACAAATTGTATATATAATTTTACTTTTAGTTTATACTGTACAACTTTAACTATTTTAACGCTTTTTTATTTTACCAAATAAAAATTGCGTTTCATTATTATTGGTATATATCTTACAACTCCTATATTTTATTACTGATTTAGTGATAAGAACTTTATTGTACCGACCAAAGGAAATTTTGAAATATTTTGTTATATCACTGGCATATCATGCTTGCCACAACTTATAAGATACTATCGCTTGCATTTTAAAATCTATTTCATTAAAATCGAAAAATTATGCAACCTTCGATTGCATAGTTTATATCTTTGCAATAGAATGTGAAAACGTGATTAGATAATATTAATAAAGATCACGCTATCACGCAAAAAAAGTTGATGTTTCTTGTGTATTTGTTCTTGTAAAGTTTTTCGGAAATAATTTTGAATATATTCAAAACGTAGAAACATAACCTTTAACTAGAAAAATGCTATATAAAACAGCCATTAGACGTTTGATTTCCAAAACAAATGCAAGCGTTCTAGTTAAGATACTTTATTGATAAAAACTCTTCCCTAGATTACATAAAAGTTTTGAGAGATGTAGTATTAGACATTAAAAACATTCATTAATTTTTTTTTTACTAAAGTATATGAGATAAAAAGCAGTAAACGACTTCAAAAAACTGCTTGGCGCGGTAATATGTATTGATAAAGGAAGACTGGGACCAGTGTTGGAACTTTTTATTCTTTTTAATAAATTTTTGAAAAGGTCTTACAGCTGGTGTGTGTTGTATATATATTTTTAATGAAGTTAAAACACGACATGCTTGCCATTATAGCAAGATGGTGATTTTTCATAAATAAAAAGAATCAAAGAAAAATTACAATAACGAATTTCTAATAATAGGAAATAAAATAATATTTAAATAGGAAACGATTTTTCTACAAAATAAGAAGAAGATTATTAATATATGTAAAACACTAGTGAAAACAATGCTAAGTTATAAAATCATTTACTGTGGCAAAGATTTATTCTCAGCCTTTTTTTGTTACTTTTTATTCTTAGCTTTTTTTACTGTTTTTCATACTGCAAATAATATTATTTTATAAAAAAAATTATTTTATAAGTTTTGTGAATGAATTTACAATGCTTAAAAAAATGAATAAAAAATAACTTTAAGTAAAATTTAATACATAATCAAAATTAATTCTTTTATAAATTGTGTTGCTAACGACCATTTTAATATGCTAAATAATGACCAGTATGCTAAAAAAAGACTCAAACGCTGATAGATTACCAATAAAAACTTGTATCATTTGTTTCGTTTGAATAAGGAAGCTAAATGAAAGTAAAAGTTCTGTGCTTTTGACTTAATCATAATTAAGCATTCAACGCATGTTTCAGCAAAAGTAGTAAAAAAAGAAAATGAGTCTTTTGAATAAGGGTGATAACTCAAAAAAACAACACAAAAAAAGTAAATAAAAAACGTGAAAAAAATATTATTAGAAATTGCTGAAAAGCGGTCAACAAAGTACTTGTCAAATTTTAGTCACAGATTTTTGCATTATGGCAATCTAAGAACTCGATTAATAATTCTAAGAAAATTTGCAGAAGTAGAACCAGTTGGAAACAATTTTTGCTCAAGTCGTGATCATCTAAGAACTTCTACTTAAAACTGTTTGCTATAATTGTCAAAGTATAAAATTTAAGCTCGTAAGAAGAAGTTCTTAAATTTTTTAGCTTGGTAATGGCATGGTAATAATATTTGATAGCAGCATGGCACTAGTGGTTGGTAGTGGCTTGGCACTAGTCTTGGTAGTGGCATGGCACTAATGTTTGGTAGTTTTGTATGGCACTACAATAG